TCTAGACAGGGAGTAGGGGAACATGAGCTGCCCTCATCCAGATTAAAAAGTTCCAAGCATTTAGTGATGTGGCTTTTAGAAATAACTTTTAGAAATAACAAAATCGTGTGAGAAAAATTACTTCACCTGAAGCACTTGATTTGTTAAATATATATTTCTACAAATAGATTATTTATTAACACACACGTGTTAATGCAGAAAAATGAATAATTTCCTTATGGCATATCATGTTAAACTCTGCTCACATGGGGATCTCTGAAATACTATAACTATTTTCAATATTTTTTGCAGGTGCTGACTGGTTGGTTTTGTAGCTATTGTTAGTTTTAGAGATGAGGTCTTGCTATGTTGCCCAGGTTGGTTTCTACTCCCAGGCTCAAGTGTTCCTGCTGCCTCAGCCTTCCAAGTAGCTGGGGCACAAGGACCACTCAAGGAGTTTGAGACCAGCCTGTGGAACACAGAGAGATCCTATCACCTTTTAAAAAAAGAAAAAAGTTATTTCTTGTAAAATTTATCCACTATTCAATTTGCACATCACTTATTTAGAACACAAAAAATCTCACTCCCACGAGCTGAATGGGCTTTTCTTACAAGCATGGGGTTGGGTCACATGTCACTTTGAATTTTGCAGCACACCACCTTCATTACATTTTGGTGCTCTACGTTGTAAGTCTTAGGCTTCAGGACAGAACAGTTGTAGCTTAAATTACAAGTTCTACAACTGTTCTGGTTTCCAGAACCAACCAAATCAACAATTTGCTTACTAGGTTCCCAGGCAAAGGGAGTTAAGGTCCTGAAACTGAAATAATCATGTTGGTATACCATGAATATTGCAATACAATTTCATCTTTCACCAAGAACTGCAACACTCAAATTCAGCAAAAAGCCAAAACATCTTGCAGTCAGATGGCTGTGAGACTGCAGGATCTCTGTGTGATGTCCTTAGCTGTGTTTTCACTCACTGTATTGTTTTTTTTTTTTTTTTTTTTTTGAGACAGGTCTCACTACGTAGTTGAGACTGACCTGGAACTCACTAAGTAGACCAGGCTGGTCTTGAACTCACAGCGATCCTCCTGCCTCAGCCTCCTGAGTGGGGATTACAGGCGTGCGCCACCACGCCCAGCTCAATCACTGCACTGTAGTGTCAGGGTGTAAGAGACCCGAGGTCCTGCTTTATCAGTGTGTCCCTTCCAGCTGCTCGAGTTACAGCCCCTTCCCTACACTCCCTTACTTTCTAACTCCAACTGATAAATCTTTCTATGCCTCACACTGATATGTCCTGAAATTCTTTTTCCATGATGAGAGGTAACATATCTATTCCTCAGGGCAGAGTGAGGTTCCCAACTCCTCTCTGGAGACTTCCTCAGGCCGTCTGGTGATGATGACACTCACATAGAAACCACTCATAAAAATTACTGAATAAGACAATGAGTGACTCTTGCTGACACTGCACAAGCGGTAAAGCATTTCCTTAAAAATCTCTGAAATGTGCCCGGCAAGGTGGTACACACCATGAAATCAAGGCCAGCCTGCAGTACACATTGAGTCTGAAGCCAGCTTGAACTACAGTGAGACACTGTCTCAAAAAACAAAACAAAATCTATGAAATGAAGATAAATGTTTTAACACTTTTTAAAAAACAGTAGAAACTACATTTTTGATAATAATATGTCACCGGGCGTGGTGTGGTGGCTCACGCCTGTAATCCCAGCCCTCAGAAAGCTGAGGCAGGAGGATCACTGTGAGTTCAAGACCAGCCTGGGCTACATAGTGAGTTCCAGGTCAGTCTCAACTACAAAGTGAGACCCTGTCTCTAAATAAATAAATAAATAAATAAGATAATAATATGTCAATTCTTTTTTATATAAGAAACAAGAGCAATGCCTCAGCAAAATTCTTCCTGGTTCTGAAAAAGCTTACCGGCCCTAGACCAGCCTCATTTGTGCATGTCTCTACATTAACAAATACAACAGACATTTTAGTTCCTTATGAGGTTCCTGTGAAAATGATTTCATTGTACGTGACGAATCTAATTGTGTAAACTAACACAACAAAACGAGTGCATCCACCAGGCTGGCAAGGTTATCAAAACCAAGTTCCCCCAGAGCCAAAGCTAAGCAATGAAGAAGTGCCAAGAAAATGAAAGTGGAGATCAAAAACTGGGGAAACCTGGCAAAGACGAACATCCCAGTGTGTTCTACCACAAAATCGGTGGTAGGGAGAGCTATAAGCAGTAAGGGCACCTGTGGGGGCAGAAGACAACGCAGGAGACCACACAGCTGCAACTGCAGGGGTGGAGGCCTCAGGCTTAGGTGTGTTAGTGGTTCCCAAAGGCATGAAAAGTCCTAGTCAGACTTATCTAGTTACTAAGAAAATATACTCACAAAAGGAGGAAAGAATAAAACATATTTCAGAAACATTTCTATTAGTCAGCGAAGTGTGACAGCAGAGAGCCCTCAAAAGATCAAGAATTTCATCTGGTTCCTCAGTGTATATTGTTAGCCCCAGACAGGGAAGACGTTTGATAAATTTTACTAAAAACACAACCCTCCCCACTAAAATGCTTGGATTAAAAAGTTATATATTTTTACTTAAATTTAAAAAAATTTTGTTAAAGAATCTAATTTTTAAAAAGCTAAAATTAGGGGTTGGGGATTTAGTACAGTGGTAGAGAACTTGCCTAGCATATACAAGGCCCTTGGTCTGAGCCCCAGGATCAAAAACTGGAAAAATAAAAATAAAAATTATATTTTTGCTCTTAAAAGAAAACTCATTATTACCTGCATATTTTACATAATCCAAAACCTCATTCTTTTTTTTTTTTTGGCAGTACCAAGGATTGAACTCAGGATCTTGTGCTTGCAAGGCAGGCACGGTGCCACTGAGCTAAATCCCCAGCCCTCAAAACCTAATTTTTAAGGTAAATGGTAAGCATTAGTGATTTTTAGTTCTGAAACTTTAAAAACTATTTTGCTGGGCTGGGATGTATTAGTATTTAGTATTTTCTTAAGATGCCTATGGCTCTGGGCTCAGTCCCCCGTGCCACAAAAACCAAAAAGCTCTTTTTCTGACAAAAGTTAGGCCAGAATAGAGAAAAGAGTAAGTATGCAGAAAGAACATGTTTAATAACCTTTTTATCATTATGACAGGAAAGCAAATTAGTTGTGTTAATCACGTATAGCTTTGACTGTTCCTAAAACAGACAAACTTAAAAGTCCAATAGACTTTGCAGAATGGGACCCATTTATGTATTAATTTCACAGAAAGCTAATGAATAAAATTTCACAGGTAACTGCTACTAGTAGGAAAACAGACAAATGTATGAGTTTGAGGAAGGACTATTCCATCTAGTTGTAGACTACAACATTACCAGCTTGATAACTTCCTGTTAAATCTTGTTAAAGTAAGCAAGAAGATAGTACTGGCTCTAGTGCTTTTCTGTTAGCTATAAATCTTTTTAGCTGTTTTTTTTTTTTTTTTTTTTTTTTTTTTTTTTTTTTTTTGGTACCAGTGATCGAACTTGGGACCTTGCACTTGCGAAGCAGGCGTCAGAACCACTGAGCTAAATCCCTGGCTCTTAAGCTGTTTTTTAAACTGTGATATATACATATTGCTCACCATTTTATAGCTCAGTGGTACAGTGCTTGCCTGATGCGTGTGTGAAGACCTGGGTTCAATCCCTAGCACTGGGGAGCAGGATTTTTGTTACATTCAAAATACTGTGCAACCATCACCACCACCTATTTCCAAACTCCACAACCATCCTGAACAAAAACTTAGTTTCCATTAAGCAAAATCGAAAATTTTATTAAGAGGGCTGGGGATTTAGCTCAGTGGTTCCGCCGCCTGCCTCATAAGTGTGAGGACCCAAGTTCAATCCCCAGTACCAAAAAGGAGGAAAAAAAAAAAAAAGAAAATTTTATTAAGAAGCAAAATCATATTCTTCAAAGAAGCAGTTATAAATGAATGGTCTGGCTAAAGGAAACAGGAGAACAAATACTGGGCCAAAGTGCTTCACTATCCTATCTAGCTATGGTTAGGAAAAAAAAAAAAAGAAAGAAAACTCATGCTTTAAGACCTCACTAAAAATGGTAGAAAAGGAAGCTATTAATATGAGTTAAAATTATCTTAGAGCTTTTCACAGAGTTCATTTCTCATACATTTTGTTATCTGCTTTTGCATTTCCCCCTAAAGTTTTCAGTTTTTTTCAATGATAATGCTGAGTTAGAATTTGATGGTTATAAATGGGATTTAAAAAAAAAGGGCAAAGAAAAGAAAAATAGCTAGTACCCTGTCAGAGAAGGAGTCGGGGTTAGAGAAGTAAACAGTAACTCCAAGAATGGGATCAATACTGGAACTAAAGCAATCTGCTTCTGTTCTTCTCCCCATACTGGGACATCATGGTGAGGGGTACAGCCTGGGTATGGCCTTTATCACTTTCTTCTCAGTCTGTTATCAGACAGAGGACAGTGGTACTTTTTCCTTGATGATTTTTTAAATTTCTTATTTTACAACTTAATAGCTTAAAAACTCATCTAATGCATCCCTAATTATATTTTAAAATAAGTCCTATACTCTGTTAGACAATTTTAGAAAAATTTTAACAATAGGGAAAATACAGTGAGTACATACTGTATTTTATCTCATAGATGTATGAGAAGAAAAATAAGGTATTATTAGAATGTGACCAATCTTGTCTTCACTATATTTTCCTGGGAATATCAAATACAAGTTTCAGGACTATCAAAGAATGGTTTCATAATAATGTCTACTATATCTACAGGCATGTGATATCTTTTTGAAGTATAAACATAATGATTAAGTCATTTTATTCATACACATAAATACATAAAACTAGTAATGATTAAAAGACTGTATTAACTAGAATTTTTACCTCATGTTTGAAGTCAAGGAAAATTCAGGAAAAAGGCAATATTTTGTAAATGCATTAATTATGAAAATTTCATTTTACTTTAAATTCTATTTCATCTCTCATTTACCTCTGCAATTTCTATTCTTTTGGCAAGATCATCAAGAGAAAGACAGCTATCGTCAGAAGGCAGGCTTTCCTGTAGACTATAGGATGCTTCTTCAGGAGAAAGATCTTGAAGGAGATCAGAATCATCGTCTTGGTTATCTTCATATGAAAGAGAATCTTCGGTATCTTTTAAGCAGCCTTCCAAAAGGCTATTCAAATAGTCTTCTGTTTCCTTATTGACATGATCTTCCTTATCTCCCTTTTCCTCTGGGGCCATATACACTTCTGGATGCAGTATACTTAAGTCAGATATTTTATTATTTTCATAAAGTACATTCTCAGAGCCAGACTCTGAGTCAGTCTGACCTGGTGGCAATTTTCCATCACTGTCTGTGAGATCAGGTTGCTGCAGCTTATTTAATTCATTGCTCTCAGGTTGGTCCGTGGGTAATGCCTCAGAAGCATCCTGAAGTGGCAAACGAAGTTCTTTTCTTTGAGTCTGTGAATATTTACCCTCAGAAATCAACACAGCAGGTATCTGGTCACAGCCTGGTAAAATCAATGGCTCTATCATTGACTCACTAGAGGGTAACACCCTAGGGTCGTCCACAATGGCCTCTACTGTCGTCACATCTGCGCAGTCCTCTGTGGGAGTCTCCTGCAATCGGCTGATGTCCTCACAAACATCCTTAACAGAGCCTGGCCCAGACCTGCTCCCGGCTGTCTCTGAGGACTGGGTGTGGAGCTCCAGCGCGGCTTCAGTGTTGTGGCTGCAGAGTGGCTCCTCCGTGTGGTCCTTCCCTGCAGTGACAGGGACGCTCAGGGAACCTGCCTGCCTGTCCATCTGACTGCAGCTGGCACCGCTCTCCTGGGGCTCTTTATGCTGGCTTTCTATACTTGGTTCCAGGCCAAGACAAGTTCCACTCTCTAAAGATGAAGAAAAATAAGTTGTTTTAAAATTCCAAACAATCCTTTGTAGAGAAGGAAAGAGAAGAAATGTATGATACTGTAATATGTGTAACACAGATTCTAGCCCTGAAAATAGAAATTCTGTCTGTTGCAGGATAGCAGTCTTAGGTATTTACTAAATACTTGAAGTACACTTAGTAAATAATCCTTTAATGTAAAAATTAGCAGGTTATTGAAAAGCTTTTTAACATGAATAAATCATTATATTTGAATGTAATTTTTCAAAGTTTGAAAAGTATCTGAACATTTTAGCCCTTTACATTTAAATTAATGTATCTACTGGCCTTCTGATTAAAGTTGGAAGAGTTATTTTAATTATATTTAAGACATGGCAAAGGGCAGGCCAGTGGCGTATGCCTGTAACCCCAGCTATTCAGAAGAGAAAAGAGATCTCAAGTTTGAGGCTAGCTTGGGTAACTCAGCAAGACCTTGTCGCAAAATAAAAAAATTAAAAAGGGCCTGAAATAAAAGCAGAGCACAATATAAAGTCCTGGGTTCAATCCCCAGTACCAAGAAACAACAACAACAAAAAAACCATATGACAAAGTAAATATTTCTACAGGATTAATACACTTATATTCAAAATGTAAGGCAATATTGGTCTAAGAGGCTGGGGATGAAGCTCAGAGGTAGAGTATTTCCTAGCATGTGTGGGCCCCAGAGTTCAATCCCTAGTACCACACACACACACACACAATACTGGTTTGGTCTACTAACACTAAAGGGATGCTAGTCTGTTCTGTTCAAATTTGAAGGTTTGTGTTCACTTCAGCGTCAGATCTACTAAAACAGGAACAACACAGAGAAGATTAGCATGTTCCCTGTACAAGGACGACATGCAAATTTATCAAGTGTACCATATTATACGTGTACCAACTCCCCACAAGGAACACAATCACAGCTATTACAAACATGCATAATAAAAGATAAAAACTGAGGGCCAGGGATTTAGCTCAGTGGCTGCCTTGCAAGTGTAAGGTTGTGAGTTTGACCCTTGGTATCAAAATAAATAAACAAACAAACAAACACACACACACTTACATACATGCATACTGAAAAAAACCCTGTAATCTCAGCACTTGGGAGGCTGAGGAGGCAGGAATGACATGAATTTGAGGCCATCTTGGCCTCCACAGTGGGTTCAAAGCAAGCCTGGACTACACAGAAAGACCTTGTCTCAAAACAAACAAACAACCTGAAAAACAAATTTGAACATAATACCCTTAATAAAAGTTTTTAAATTACTAGAAATATCTTAAAGCAGGCAGCAGAGAATAGCAATAAAAAGAATAAGTTTTGGCAAGCCACAGAAACAGGTTTGAATTTTTATATTGGTTTCAATTTAACTGAAATAAGTCAACTTGCGATACTATTTTTCACTTTAAAACTTCACAGTTAAAACTCTTCATACAAGCAGGGCATGGTGGCACATGCTTGTAACCCCAGCAGTTGGGACACTGAGGAAGGAGGACCACTGTGAGTTCAAGGCCAGCCTGGGCTACATGAGGGAGCTTAAGATCAACCTGAACTACTCAGTGGGATCCTGTCTAACAAAACAAGCAGAAAACTCTCATGTAAATAATGAATGGAAATTGCAGTGATTGGCAGATAATGGAGCATGCAGCTATCTCATCCTCAGTTTACTGGTGAATCTTATCTAATTATTTTAAATTTTTAATGGGCATACTGTTTAATTTAGAAAAATAAAGGGCCGGGGATGTAGCTCAGTGGTTCCGCTACCTGCCTTGCAAGTAAGTGCAAGATCTCGAGTTCGATTCCCAGTACCCAAAAAATAAAAATAAAAATAATGGGGCCAATGTGAAGAAAGATGTCAGGCATTTAGTTCCAGCAATGGCAAAGCTGACCAATACACAAAGGTTCAGAAGATGGCTCCCAGAACACATTTGCAGAAATTGAGAGTATAAATATGACTAGGAACCATATTCCCCAAGGACAATTAAAGCTTAGGGCAGAAAGACCTTCACATCAGAGGAACAGGGTCTGCCAACTCCAGCCGAGGACAACAAATACCATGGGAAAAAGTTTCTGTTTGGCTGGTCCAACTGGAGCTGCCACACCTGGCCCACAGAACCTGGCTTCAGTTGCAAGCACTCATCCAGTGAGCCCAAACTGCCACACATTGTGTTCCCAGGGCCTAGCAGCTGGAAGGTAGAAAAGAGCTTGGAATAAAATGAGATTTACATTTTCAAATGAAGTTTGGAGCTGAACTGCACTAAGTCCTCAAAAATCAAAATAAGGCTAATATCTAGCAGTGACTGAGAAGTTACAGAATCACTGTGAGAAGCCATTATATAGGAAGTGAAGTAATTGTAGTGATTAGAAAAAATGCACTGCTTTTGCAGCAGTGGAACAAGACTGTAATCTAAGTTACTTGGGAGGTTGAAGCAGAAGGATTGAAAATTTGAGGTCAGCCTAGGTAACCCAACAAGATTCTGTCTCAAAAATGTTTTTTAAAAAAAGGTTGGAGATGCAGCTCAGAAGTAAAGTACTTGCCTAGCATATGCAAGGCCCTGGGTTCAATCCTTAGTACAAAGAAGGAAGAAAAGAAGGGAGGGAGGCAGGCAAGCAGACTATCCATAGGCACAATGTATTTACAACCTAGCCTGAAAATGATTGCTTCATCTTATTATTTAGAAACAATTATTTAAAAAGAAACAATTTAAGAAGCAAACTAAGTTTGGGGAGTCATCCACAATTTTGACAATTCTCTTCAAAAGACATTGTTTTATCAGGCCCGGGTAAGATACCTTTTTCCATAACTTAAACACATGCCCTCATGAGAATGTCTGGACTGATACAACATTTGATAATCCCAACAATTTACTTAGCAAAAGCACACTGCACCCAATTAGAAACAAGAAGACTGGGATTCTAAGTGTGAATCAAAGCAGTTGACTTTAAAACTGGTGACTTGGTTTCCCTGTCTGTACCACATGCACTACCAGCAGAGGCCAGGCTAGAGAGGTAATGCCAAGCTAGGGCTGAGCAGTCTCAAATTCAAAGAAAGGATCCATAACAGCACTCTTCCCAGCGTGTACAACATGGAGACACATCTACACCCAAACAGCCCTGTGGCTGCTATTTGGAGGTTCCCCGCCCCTTTTTAAAATGGTTGAGAAGTTTATTTTACTCTGATTTCTGACTTTAGATTATAGTCAGGCTGACTCATGTCAATATCCCTAACTTGCCTTATAAAAGAAACTGAGATATTTAGAGATTTGAAAAGAAAAAAAAACAAAACAAAAAACACTTTTACAGAGGAAAGGGCTACTTGATAACAGTATCATCTTATACATCTGGGCCACTCACCTAAACCACCTGATACTTCCTTTTTAGTATCAGGGCTCTCAGGCCCAGGAACACAAAGCTCAGCAACAGAAACTAGTAGTAATACCATACAGCAGGGAAGGAAATTACCCTAAAACATATTTTTTCTTTTTTTGGTACCAGAGATTGAACTCGGGACCTTGGGCTTGCAAGGCAGGCAGAGGAACCACTGAGCTAAATCCTCAGACCTTGAAACATACTTATCTTTATTTTCTAGTTTTCACAATAAACAAATGTATTTAGAAAACAGTTTCTAAAAATCTTTTGACATGAGACATAAGGTACTATAAAATACATTGTTAAGTGCTTTAGAAATTTATATATACACAATTTTATTTTGGTACCAGGGATCAAACTCAGGATACCCTGCACTTGTGAGGCAGGCGGCGGAACCACTGAGCTAAATCCCTGGCTCTGTATACACAAATTAAAGCACATTAGATATTAGTCAACAAAAAAGGGTGGAAGGATAAGTTATTATAGATAAGTTATCAAGACAGAATTTTTAATGATCTAGATTTACAGAACAGATTTCTGGTAAAGTCCATTCAATAATTTTTCAAACAGGAAAAGGATGTCTTAAGTACACCAAAACCAATTCCATTTCAGAGCATTTTTGTACAGTTTTTAAAATATTCTGTTAGATACATATAGCTACCTACTGAAAACATGGAAATGATTTTATGTTTTTATAAGAATTTAGATTTTATAACTACTAGATATCTAAAAATAGAATTACAACATAAGAAATCTTGCTCTGTTATTTTTCTAGGAGATTATATACAAAATTGTAAATGCAAAAAGATTCCTTCACAGTAATTCAGATGTAACACTTATAAACTAGCATAGGAAAACAGTATCTTTTATATTCCTCACTAACTTAATTTAAAACATACCTGGGTCTTTGGCTGTAACTCCTTTTGCCTTTGATTCTTCAGACACTATTAACTGAGTAATGCATTTTTTTCCCAGGGACTTTCCTATAGCTCCTATCTGAAAAGTTTAAAACAAAAACTATTTTTAAAAATTGCTTCATTAAATTAGAAAGTAGAAGATAACTTGAGAAAGGTTTCTTCATTTTAAAACATTCCATACAACAAGCATATGACATGAATATTTTCCCCATAAATATTTTCAAAAGAAAATATCTCTTACCTTATGTTTGGATAAAAGAGGACTGCAGGAAAAAAAGAGAGAGAAAAAAATTTGTAAAAAGTACAGCATACTTCCAAACAAATGTCACTGAAATGGCTATGAAAAAAATACAGCTTCTCTGGATACTAATATTAGCTCAGAACATTTCCATGGCTGAAACATTACTACTGGCTTACACAGTTCAAAGTGCAGCTATATCATGTGTTAATCTCCGTAAAAGCCAATTACTATTGAAAACACCCAAAGAAGCTACAAATATTAAAAGCCAGAAGTGAAAAAAAAAGAAGGTAACCTTTTGCTAGTAAGATATTTAAACACTATTTTACTTTTAAAAAATTTCAGTGTATGTTATAGTCTAAAACAGATTATGGCAGAAGATAATTTTGTTGAAATTACCCACTGAAATAAGACTATCAAAAAAGTAACTTTTGAATATTAAATTTTAGGGGACACTCTATAGAATGCATATATTCAACAAAGGTATGAGGAAAAATATGCATACCCACTTTATTATTTATAATATTCAAAATCCAGGGACAACCCAAATGTCTTTTAAAAATAGAATGGACAAATAAATTCCTGCAGAGTCCTACAATGAATTTGTTTTGCAATAAAGCGCAGCAAACTTCCATTACACACAACAGCATATAACACACATACACAAGCTAGCTGCAACAATCAATACGGTATATGAAACCACAGAACTGGAAAAGAACAGTGAGGCAACTCTGAGGGGCGATCACGGGGGGCCAGTGTGGGCTGGATATTCCAAGAGAGATCCTTTTTGTTTTTTTCTGGTACCGGGGATTGAACTTGGACCCCTGCACTTGCAAAGCAGGCAGTAGAACCACTGAGCCAATTCCCCAGCCCTCGAGAGATTCTTCTGAGTGGCTAGAATGTTCTGTATCTTGGATCTTGTTAGATTGACAGGCATATGGACACACTTATATGGAAAAATTCTCAAAGCTTTTACACTTAAACATATTTTTAACAAATATCTTTATTTTACTTATGTATATATTTTTTGGAGGGTACCAGGGATTGAACTCAGGACCTTGTGCTTCCAGGCAGGTACAGCGCCAGTGAGTTACATTCCCAGCAATATTATAAAATTTTATGAACAATAATTTAGGATAATTATCTAAAGATACTATGCTTATTGTATGTCAATAAATATTAAGTACTTAAGTTACTAATTCCAGAGGAAAGGCAGGAAGAGTATCTATATTATTTTGAAAGTTTAAAAAAAAAAACTTTAAAAGTCTAATGCTACTAGTTGAAAGTTAATCTACTTAGCATCTTAAGGAACTAGGTTATAATTTAGAATCTCTGAAACTGTTATTTTAAAAGTTCAAATTCACTAACACAAGAAAACTGTCATTAGGGGAGTTGAATGAACATTCACCTCAGAACCTAGAATCTTTCTTTAAAGGCCATCTCCAAAACAATGAAATCCCCCCAAAAGTTCTCTATCTTCTGCATGAGCTAAACAACAATTATTTGTAACTGTTTCACTATTAACAAATAAAGCTTTAGTTTCCATGTTTGTGACAGAAAAAAAGAAAAAGCTATCAAAGAACGGACAATCTTTCAGCTTTTATATTGAGGAAAAATTGTCTAAACCCAGAAAATCTATACTAATTTAAATACTGTCACAACTCCTTACATTAAGAACTATGGGTCTTCAAAGAAATAATTTTTAAAAAAATGAAGTGTGTCATTACCACCAGTTTTAAAAGTGCAATTCCTTGATACAAGTGAAGCAACTGAAATTTAACTGGTAAATGTAGCTTTCCTTCTGAAGTGTTCTGGTTAAATATGGTATTATATTTACTTCCCAGAATTAGATTACTCTTTCAAATGATGTGTTTTTTTCTATAATATATAAGTGTTGGCAAGCAGGTAGAAAAAAAGTCTTAATACACAGTTTAGCCCATCTGAATCACCTAGTCTAACTAAAATGATACTGAAATTAGAAGTCATATTTTAAAGTTTCTAATCAGAAGGATCCTTTGAATTTATGTAAAGCTGAACTTTTACTGAATTCACTGTAAGAAAGAGAAAAGCTAAGGAACCCAATACTTTTATTATACCCATTTAATTTCTCCAGCTGAAAACATCAAAAAAGGCTAAAGAACTGGATCTTGTATTTCAATACTCAATATAATCCTTCAATATTCTACTCCAACCCACTGTAATTAAAATCTGACATACTTACTCTTGATGTGTTGAGCAAAATTTAGCAAGCTGTTCAAAATCTTCACCATTAAATCCTTTTTCTGAATTCCTTAGAGGTGTAACTGTATGAGGTTGTACAGTTTTCCATTTTGCTTCTAAATTTAAAATATTTGTTAGTCACTCGCTCTTACAAAGCACATTTAGAAAGGAAAAAATAGTTAACTGGTGACACTGATAAAAATTAATATGCAAAATTATCTTTTCAAACAACCCAAAAGTTAACACAGTTAGAAATAGCTATGTGATTACTTTGCAGTATAAGTAAATATCATTCCAGAGACTAAATTAGCCAGTAGGACATGCAGTGTGAACAGAAGAAATGCAAATAACTGCAAGTTTTTGTTTCTTAGCGCTGATAGGAGGAGTAAAAGACAAAGGGAAAAGAATTTTCTCACAGCAAAACAGACCTGTGATAAAAATGCTACATTCTTTGCAACCCTTCCACTCCCACCCCTGTAATGCTGGGAATCAAACCCAGGGTCTCCTGCACGACAGGAAGCGCTGTATCTTGTACTACATATTCAGCCCCATATTTTGCCATGTAAATGTGACTACAGAAACCCATTTTCTAACAAAACTGGGTCAAATATTTTAAATTTATACATAGCAATGTTAGATTACTGGTAGCTCCATATTCTGTGTTAGTCTGTACTCACCCCACTGTTCTTGAATGGCAGAAAGATTTGCCAGCAACTGCTCATGATACAGTCGTTCAAGCTGAATAAATTTCATTGCTTTCTCATCTGAATAGATAATTTGAGGAAACCAAATCCAGACTATTGACATTAACCCCACATTTGAAAAGTAATGTCCCAAAGAAGGCGAGAAACATGCATCTGATCAAAAAATGAGGTGATTCTAAATACTTTTAAACTTAATTATCTGAAGTAATTTTCTTGGTTTTGAAGTAGATAACTAGGTTCTTACAGTAGGTACTTGGGTTCTATACCATCTAGCAAACAGAAATTAAAAGGCTTTAATGCTCAGAGAATGCTTTTTTGATAGTATATTTGTAGCAGAGTCAATTAAAAGATATTTAATTGGAAACAGAACTACAAGGAATCTTGGGAGTCTATGTGTTATCCTTTTATAATTTCTCCTCTTAAATGATTTTCTGCCAAACCACTATATGATTGTCTAGGCAACTGTCTGTCTCTGTTTTCAACACACCTTGATCTTTCTTTCCCACTGAATGTTTTTGCTCCCACAAGACCAAAGGATCACCTACCTAAACAATGACAAAACAAAAGTTACACAGATCTTTTGGAAAAAGTTAATTAATTTGCCACAGTGACTTTTATAATTATGTGACTCCACTTTGCCATAGATCTTCCTATGAACTTTTGTCTTCCCATCTGTATCACACATATGTGCACCTTAGGAAGTCAAGATACGCTGTTCAACTGACTACCTTGCTCTGGGCAATGTTCTAAATGTTGACCCAGAAAAAAAAAAAGGAGAAAAATTTAACAGTTTAGTTTTTTGCTCTTCCCACAAATACTCAAGAGGTCAGCTCTCCCTCGTAGACTTGTAGTCTTAAAGACATCTCTGGGGTCATAAAATAGGCTCAGGAAAAGTAGGAATAATTCCTCTCTCCTCTGTCTCTGCTCATGACAAAAATAGCAGTGTCTCTCAGACTTTAAAGACCTTAAAAAATTATCTGAAAAACTTGTGACAATAGATTCATGGGTCTGACCTCCTCTTCTCTGCAAGCTCTGATTCTGAGGCCCGTAAACTTTCATTTCTAAGATTCTGGTACTGTTGGTCTACACTGCACTCTATCAGGTACTAATTATTTTGTTAAGAAAAAGAGACAGTTCCTCCTTCATTTCCACCAGAATTAGATTCCCAATAACTGTCTGTTAGGAACAAACTACCACTGTCTGAAGTTGTAGGCTGGTTTCCTTCACAGGGTTCAGTATAGCAACTGCTTATCCTCTGTCTGGTCAGAACTGTGGTGAAAGCCAACAAGGTTAGAAAGAAAGTAAATTACATTCATGGGGGGAAAATAGATGTTGAGGACCCATTCCGTCTACAGAGCACAATGGTACCTTGGTACTTGACATTAATTGGTTCTGGGATGCTCAAAAGTACCTAAATCACGACTGTCAAAGAAATTGTTTTGGCTAGAAAGGGTAGTGAGTCACAAGGCAACCGAGGACAATGACAAGTTCTAACTTGGTGTCAAGGAGCAGGACAAAATTTCCAAGCCAAAATGGATCATGTACCAAATTCCAAGGGTTTCAAAGTAGTCAAGTGTAACAGTATATACTGGGCCACCCCCTTAAAATAAAAGCAATTTTAAAAAGAAAAATTGAAGAAAGTGAGAAAATGTTCCTTATATAAAAGTTAGTATGTGGCCTCATTCAAAAATATTTACTGTATTGTTTATTATTAATGAAGAATTAATCTTTCCTTTCTAGCTATACACAGTCACACACCACATAATGACACACAGTCAATGATGAAACATGTAGGACACTGAGCCCAATGGACTACATCAAGTAAAGATGCAGAGGCTGTCTTAGCATAATATTTATACAATGACAAAAATGACCTAACAATGTGTTTCTTAGAATATATCCTCATTTTTAAGCAATGATATGTAGCTATAAGGTAGCCATGAATTTACTGTATATGTGACATACTCTAGACTTGCATATCTGATTAATTTGAGACAGATAATTCTAGTTTTATATATTTTATCTGTGAGCAATATTTGCTCCCCTTCACTCCGATCAAAAATATTTAATTTTGGTAAAATGAGGACTTATTTATGGAAGGTCAAATTTGGGTGGTTCCAGAAAAATTTCTGGAGTAACACATTATTTTTTGCACCTTGTTTTCTGGTATAGTTATATGGGTACATACAATTATTAAAACTCACTGAGACCACATGGTCAGTATATTTTATTATACAGACCTCAATTTTAAACAATGGATTATTCTCTAAGAGTTGTATGAATTTCTTCCTACCCTTAAGAAAAGGATACAGTCTTCTTCCTGGAAATATGATTCTGCTATCTGTTAAAAAAATAAATAGAAGATATTAAATTACTATTTAGGTAAATAAAACATTAGCAAGAAATCAAGAACTTAACTCTGAATCTTTCCACTATGAAAGTAAGAAAACTCCTATTTAACGATCCTCATCAATTCAGAAGAACTTTGTGGGCACAGGACATGATTCTAAAGTCTTCCTCGCTTCAAGCCAAGCAAGCATATGCATTCTTTGGAATTATACAACTATGTTCTTTCTATTCCAACTTCAAGTCGTAGCAAACTTCTCTCATTCGTCAGAGTTTAGAAGCAAGAATTCTAAAGAATGAGAAAAATGCTACAGAAGATTACAGACATGAGTAAAAAGATTATTCTCATTTTATTTTATTGGTACCAGGGATCAAACTCAGGTCCTTGCGCTTATGAAGGCAGGCAGTGGAACCACTGAGCTAAATCCCCGGCCCAAGATTATTCTCATTTTAAATAAAAAAACAGAAGCATGTCACGGCATTTAGGACCTTTACATCCCCTTCATTTCATTCCTTGTTCACAAACTACCAGCTGAATACCTCACGGGACACTGGCTTTTTGGTTCTGTTTGGTATTTTTAAAAATGATCAGTGCAAATGCTAACAGTTGAATAATAATGTTTGGAATATGCAGAGTGCTGCACGTTATAAAGAGCACCAGAAAAAGAGTACAGAGACTCAAGAACTAGTCCCAGAAAAAGCTTGTCACATAAAATTCATTCTAAGGTGCCTTTAAATTTAAAAATTCTTTGAATTGGGCAAGGTAACATACTTCTGTAATCCCAGTTAATCAGCGGCTGAAGAAGGAGGACAGCTTGAGCTCATGAGTTTGAAGCAAGCTTAAGCAATATACTGAGACTTTATCTCTTTTTAAAAAACTGATTGTTGATACAAGTGGTAGTGCCTTCCTGTAATTCCAGCACTTGGGAGGCTGGGGCAGGAGGATCACTGTGAGTTCAAGGCCAGCCTGCACTACACAATGAGTTTATGGTGAGCCTGAAACTACACAGTGAGACCCTGTCTCAAAAAGAAACAAACACTTCAAAAACTGATTCTAAAAACTTTTATCTTTATTTATATATCACATTTACAAGTAGATGTGCAAAACTAAAAGTGTTCACTGATGAATATCTGCATAATCAGTTTTAATATTTAGAATATTTTATATAAGTATTTTACACCTTGTTTTTTGGCAGTACTGGGGGTTGAGCCCAGGGCCTTCACAATAAGCTATATCCTCATACCCATTTTTCTAAAATAGCGAAACATTTATTGGTATATTTTAGACATAAGTAATAACAGCACTCACCATAGAGAATTTGCCCCTGTACACGATACCTTCTGCCTTTTCGCCATTCCCCACTTCAAGCCTCCTCCCTTCCCTTTGTGTAAAAGCTTTTTTTCTATTTTCACTTTTTTTCTTGTCCCTTCCTTCCTTTTCCCTCCTCCCTTGTTTCCCTTCCTATCTGAACATTTTCTTCCCATTTCCCAATATCTGTTACACATTTTAGTCCTTATTTCCACTTTTGGTTTCTCACACCAAAGAGACAATGTGGTATTTAAACATATGTATGAATTATTTCACTGAAGAATATGGCTTCAAGGTATATCCATTTAGCTAGAATGTCTCAAGTTCATCCTTCTTTGTGGCAGAGTATTCCACATAGTGTAAAAAAACCCACACCTTCTTTATCCATTCATCATCAGCCATTTTTCGCATTGTGTTTTGAGACAGGGTCTCACTAAGTCAATACACTGTCCAAGCTAGGCTTGGACTTTCCAGATGTGTGCCTGGCTTACTTTACACTTTTAAAATAGATCCCACTAATTCTTATTAGTCTCTAGTTAAAAAAAAGAGAAAGAAAGAAAGAAAAAAGAAAAAAGGTATTCCGTTCATAGATCACTGCTTCTGCTTTCCAGGTAACTGACAATGGAAAGAGCAGTAATGTACTTGTCAAACCTGGTGCCCAGGCTTGCCCTCTTTGATTCTCTTGCTCAGCCTCTGGAGTAGCTGGGATTATAGGCATCCACCAGCATGCTCAGCTTTTAAATTTTATTTTAAAAATTTAAATTAATTAGTAACTGATACATAAGAACATAAATCCTTTTTTTCTAGATTTCTGAAATACAGAGCACACAATACAGTGGTCACCCTACTGTGCAATAGCACATCAGAACTTCTTCCTCCAGCAGGTACAGTGGCACATGCCTGCAATCCTAGCTCCTTGGGAGGCTGAAGCAGGAGGATTATAAATTTAAGATCAGCCCAGGCAACTTAGCAAGATTCTGCCTCAAAATAAAAAGAAAAAATGTCCACCTCACCCCACAAAGAATGGCTGCTATGAAGAAATCAACCAATAACAAATGTTGGTGGGGTTGTGGGGAGAAAGGAACCCTTCTCCATTGTTGGTGGGAGTGCAGACTGGGGCAACCACTATGGAAATCAATATGGAGGTACCTCAAAGAGCAGGGATTAGAGGTTCCATTTGACCCAGCCATCCCTCTGCTGGGTATCTTTCCAAAAGAATTAAAGGAATCATACCACAGTGATATATGCACACCCATGTTTACAGTGGCACAGTATGTAATAGCTAAATCTTGGAAACAGCCCATTTGCCCATCAGTTGGAAATTGCATAAAGAATATGTAGTTTTTCTATAAAATGGAATACTACTCAGCCATAAAGAATGAGAAATTAGATTCATTCATAGGAAAATGGATACATATTGAGGCTATACTCCTAAATGAAATAAATAAGTCACACATGTATAAATACCGAATAGTTTCTCTGGTGTGAAAAGCCATATGAGATAATTGACCATGTGAAATAGGAAGAAAAGGGCTAAAGGTGTAGGGAAAATGGGAAGGGTAGGGGAAAAGTAATAAGGGAAAAGAAAAAAATATGACAAAATGAAAAAATGGAAATAAAGTGTTTGCAAATGGGGAGGGGAGGAGGGGGTGAAGGGAGGGCATGGACAAGGGGAAATAATGAGAACCAAGACCTGTCATGTAAAGGTAAAAGATCCCAATAATGAATGTAATTGTACTGTACACCTAAAATGTACCAATAAACTCAATAAAAGAAAAAAAATAAATAAAAAACAAAAATGGCTGGGAATGTAACCCTGGGTAAGGCCCTGTGATTGATCCTAAGTACCCCAAAACAAAACAAAAACAACAGAAAAACACCAACTTTTTTTTTTTTTGAGACAGGGTTTCAGTATATAGTCCAGGCTGGCCTCGAACTCATGGCAATCCTCCTGCCTCAGCCTCCTAGTTACTGGTATTACAGACATGTGCCATCAAACCCACAAATAAAAAACTTCAACTCCCAACCTAACTGCAACTTCACTGCGCTTTCCCTTTCTTTTTTTTTTAGATAGCTCTTCATGTGCTTTTCACTCATACAACTGCAAAGACTCCACCAAGAGACTAATTGTCTCTCAGTATACTGTACTCAGATACATCAGCATATAGAACCAGGAAAATGAAAGAAAAGTCTCTCTCATGGCTCCTGATATTCTCCAAACAGGAATGGTTTCTCCTTGCTTGAGAGACAGCTATTGTCCTAATATCTCCTTTCACTTAGCTCCTGAGTAGAAGCTTCACTTTCCTGTTGCCTAGTTTTACTCCCTTATTTTGCTGGAGTACATCCTGTAATCCTCTAGTAGCTTCCTAAGAATGGGTAGAGGAGAAATACCAAAGATCCCAAAATAAGAATATTCTCAGTATATCTGAAGTCCGTTAGACAAGTCAGTATCCCCGGAAATAAGTGCATGGGGAGAAAGGTTTTAGGTGTCAAAATCTAAGAGGTACCACCACACAGTCACAGATCATACAGGGTCTTGCAGGCCATGGAATGGATTTTGGCTTTTACTATGAATGAGAAAGTGAACCTTTGCAGAGTGCTACACAGTGAAATTACATGATCTGCTTTACGTTTTATTTGGCTTATAGTGATTATCAGGTAGAGAGGGGAACACTAAACGGACATAAGAGTGAAGGTAGAGAGGTTTCTACCGCAAGGATTTATTATAAGAATCCAGTTGATATTGGCTGCTGTCTTGTACTGAGATGGTAGCAATGAAAGATAAAAAGGAATCAGATTATGAATATATTGCAAAGTAGATTTGTAGGATTGACTAATGGATTGGATTTGGATGTGGGAAAAAATAAGCAAAGGATCTCCTCAAAGTTTCTGTCCTCAGCAACTGTAGGAATGGGGGTGGCAATTAACAAAGGGAAGCAGACTAGAAAAGCAACATATTTGGGAGAAAAATCAAAGTTCCATTTTGTACATCTTATATTTGAAGTGCTGGGATAGTCAAACTGGAGTCCAATGGGAAAAAACTGGGTGAAACATACCAGATGGGATGAAATCACCTATGAAGTTAGAGTAGAATGAAAAATAATTCAAGACCTGAACCCTGAAGTACTTTAATGTAAAAAATGAGTGAAATATAACTTAGCAGATGAGCCTGAGAAGGCCTGGCCAGTGAAGAGGTAAAAGCCAAGAAGGCATTGTCCCAAAAAGCAAATAAAGAAAATGTTTTAGCCAGGCATGGCTGTAATCACTACTACTCAGGAGGCTGAAGCAGGAAGATCACAATTTTGAGACCAGCCTGGGAAACTTAGCAAGATTCTGTCTCAAAAATGGCTGGAGATGTAGGTCAGTAGCAGAGTACTTGCCTAACATGTGCAAAGCACTGGGTTCAATTCCCAAAATTGAACCCACAAAATAAGAGAAAGAAAAAGAAAGGATTAGGTTGGATTCAAGGGAGCTGGACATGTAGCTTAGCAGTCAATTGTGTGACACAGGGTTCAATCCTAAGCAACGACAACAACAGCAGAAAATGCTTCAAAATAGATTATGTAATCAATCTGTCACCGTGTCTGATAGCTTCAGTAAGATGAAAACTGAACCGAACACTAAGCACTGGTTGACAGCATGGATATTACTGGTAACCTTCATAAGAGAACTGTTGTGAAGTAGTGGGAACAGAAGTCAGGTTAGACTGAGGTCAAGGGAGAAGTTGGCATAGAATATAAAGTAGAATTCTTGTCGAAAATGTTTTGACCAAATAAAATCATGAAGCAATCACCGAATAAGTCCTAATTAAGAGATATTCTAGAAGTATTCTCAGCCTCTTCATAAGTATATTATGAAAGTTAAGAAGAGGGAGAAAAAAAACCCCCACCAAATTCTGGAATGCAAAGATTAAAGAATCTTGACAATCAGATGCAAGATCAAATGCCTGGTTCCTGGGGAAGGCGGTTCACGGCTATAACAGCATATGTGAAACAACCTGAGAGAAATTTGAAAAGGAGCTGAATACTACATAATATTACTTTATCAATATCTAATTTCTTAGGTTTGCTAATGGCTCTGCAGGTTATAGAAAACTATCATTTCTCTTGGGACAAATATGTACAAATATTTAAAGGTGAAGTGATACAGTGCTTGTAAATTACTTTAAAATATTCCAGTAAAAAAAGGTTATGTGAAAGCCGGGTATTTAGCCACTGCCTGCCTCGCAAGCACAAGGACCGCAAATTTGATCCTTGGTACCACCCCCAAAAAAGAAAAAAGAAATAATGAAAAAGGTTATGTGTTGGGGCTGGGAATTTAGCTCAGTCAATGGCACTGTACCTGCCTTGTAAATGCAAGGTCCTGAGTTCACGCCCCATACCAAAAAAAAAAAAAAGTATGTGTGGGTGTTCAGTAAATATGTATGCATGTGATCAAGATGGCAAAAGAGAGAACACAAAAATTTGATAAACTGTCAGTTGGTGAATCTAGGTTAAAGGCACAACATGATGTACTAGGATGTCGAATGAAATGTACCTCCACCCCTCCCTGATTATGTGGCCCTTGGGAGATGTCACCCTGATGGCTCAGTGTCTGGAAGTTCTGAGTGACCACTTGCTGATCCTTCCTACTTTTTCCCTAGTTTTGATTTCTTTTTGTTTGTTTGTTTTTTGAGACAGGGTTTTATTATTAGTTCAGGCTGGCCTTGAACTCACTATGTATCCCAGGCTGGCTTCCAATACTCGTCAAAATCCTATCTCAGCCTCCCAAGTATATGTGCGCTACCACACCCAGCTCCAGTTGTGATTTCTAACAAGCAATCTCTGAATTAGTGATATGAGGACAGTTTGGCTGCCTATTATTTATTTGGCTTTTACCGTGTACCAAACATTATGTTAAATGTTTTTTATGTATTACCTCACTTAATCCTCTACAGCATCATAGAAGAAACCAAAAACCATTTAGCTCTAATCAAAGCCCATGCTTTTTAAACCATCATTATATTCTCTAAGCTCCTTTCTCAGAAGATGACATATTGCTGAAATACTTAGAAATCATGACATATAGGACTCAGTACACTGGTATATATTTCTAATAAAGGTAGAATTTTGCCTTTAAATATATAACAGGAATACAGTGATACTGGTTTACACAATTTGCTTTCTGATTTGGAGGAAGATGGCTGCATTTGTTCTTGTGGGGGTCGCTGTGATCATGTTTGTCACTGAATGCAGAATTTGCAAACAGAAGCAAAATTTTGCTGAACACTTTTGTCTGCAAACAGAATTGTTTATAAGGCCGGGATTTAGCTCTGTGGTTCAGTGGCCTGCCTTGCAAGAGCAAGGACCCGAGTTCAATCCCCTAAAAAAAAAAAAAAAAAAAAAAAAAAAGAATTGTTTATAAACATAAGTGTTTGTGAATTGAGGCATTATTATAATCTGCAGGCCCGATCAAGATTTTTATCATCTCTCTGCCTAAAAACGTGATTTTTTTTTTAAGATTAGCTGGGCTTCTGCCAGGAGAAAGAATGTTCTTACCTTATTTAACAAAAGATTAGTGATATAAACTATTTAAAAAGATCTGTCTGTATTTGCTAACACTCTCCTTCCTTTTAACTATCTTTTCCCAACTCTTCATTGCATTTCTACGTAAGAGCTTAAGGAATACGGAATCCATCATAAACCCTTCACCCAGATTTGGTAATTACTGCATTTTGCCAAATTTGCTTTTTTTCCTTTGTCTCTCACTCTTTTATATATTTTTCTCGCAATTATGCAGTAGGCATTATATCAATTCATCTTCAAATATTTGTATATGTCTCACTCAAGATTTGAGATAGCTGGGTGTGGTGGTGCATGCCTGTAACCCCAGCACTGGGGAGGTTGAGGCAGGATGGCTGAGAGCTCGAAGCCAGTCTGGGTTACATAATGAGTTCAAAGCCAGCCTGGATTATATAATCAGACCCTGTATCAAAAAAAAGAGTATAGATACCTGCCTACATAATATAGCCCACCATGCCACTTCAAGAAAAACCTTGATAGGATAATATCATTTTACAGCCCACACTCGAATTTCTCTCAGGTTGTTCCAAAAACAGATGCATTCAATGGCATAAATTCTATTACCTGCATCATAAGGAATGTGCTTTGTGAGGGCATCTCAGTTGCCCCCATTTGTGAGCAGATGATAATACTGACTTCTCTAGGTCATCTGGAGGATGAAATTGTGATAACGGTGAATACCCTTTGCAAAACCAACCCACTGTGCAGCTCCTCTAAAGGCTGAAGCATTAGAAGTCTGCCCAGGTATTCGTGCTCCTAAACAATGGTAGGTCAGTAACCAACAGCACTGTACGTTTTCTCAATGGTATTTCTCAGGTCCACCAAGGAGGTAATTTAAGTTTGTAAAATTATACATTTTCCTGCTTTGGATCACATGCTATTTGCTTTTTAAAAATTAAAAATTACTCACTGCTGCAAAAATCAAAATGAAACAGAAGTGGGTAAAATTAAAAGTTGATCTTTATTCAAGTATGAATTATTTTCATTTTAAGTGGAACTACAAATGCAGCTTTACTGAATTAGCTCTTAGAAAAAGGGTTCCTATGCTCTGTGCTGAAGGCCTCCCACTCTCCAGGTACCAGGCTCACTGTCTTCCCTTGTCTTACAATCACTGAAGAGTCAGACTTTTTTTTTCTCCCAGATTTTATGATTTTTTAAAAAAATTTCGAGATAAGGTCTCACTAAATCACTAAGGAACCTGCAACCCTCCTGCCTTAGTCTCCCAGAATATTAGCATTTCCAGCTGGAAAATTATGTTTGTAAAATTCAGACTGGGTTCTGAAGAGCTGGGGATACAGCTCAGAGACAGAGGGGTTGTGATAATTTTTTTTAAAATTTTTTATACAGAAGAATTCTCATTGTTAAAATTCCCAGCTCCATAGACTAAGGCCTTAAGGTCACCAGCTATGGAATCTTAACTCTGTCTATTTCCTTCTTATTCTCCAACAATGTCCTAGCTGTGCCCTTCCTGACGTCTCTTCAGGTACTGGCTCCCCATGTTGTATGGTGAGCATCTAGTTATTATATACAACCCAAGGGCCACCTTCTCTTCCCTCACACCTACAGAACAAAGTTGGTCTTCTATTTCTTGCTGCTGAACCCTAAACAGATATCTCCACTGACTCATCCTACAGAATTCTACACTCATGAGATTTATATCACCGTCTCTCCTATTCCACAGTGGCTTTAAGGGCATACCCTGTTCATCATCTTTGTTTCCTCAGTGTCTATCTAGCACTGTTTTTGGCACCTAGCTAGTGCTCTTGCTACTCTGACTCCTATCTGTACACTGAAGAAAAGTAATTAGTTATTTTTTTCCAAACTATTGATTCTCTAAGGCCAAGGCATGGCCACTAGTTTAGCACTAGGTCAAATTTGCCACAGCCACTGATCCAAGGACATCCTGGGCTCATAGAAACAATTTCTGGAAGGGCTGAGGATTTAGCTCAGTGGTGCCGCTGCCTGCCTCGAAAGCGCAAGGTTTTGAGTCCGATCCCCGGCACAAAAACCAAAACCAAAACCAAAAAGAAACAATTATGGATCTGAAAGGATTCCAAACACTGGTACCAGAGTTTCCATGTGGCTGAAAGTGAAGGGTTTAATGTAATACCTGGTGAAGGCAGAGGGGAAGTGTCCTTGAATCCAACTGCTCAACTTCACCTCGTATGAGTGAAAAGAGAGACTGCAGAGCTAGTTTTGGGGCTTCTGGTTGATCATTAGCATTGACTTCAGCAGTTTCTTCATCACCAACAGCACAAGTGGCTGCACTTAGTATCTTTTCTTGTATTAAAGATGCATCATCTGAGGAAAGTAAAGAAAATGCCTGCATTAAAATAAATTCCTATTATGGTGGGATACTATAAAACAACTATACTTGTTAATCATAAAACTTTCAAACAAAACTAACCTTAGGAAAGAAAGCCCTAGAAATCACAAGTTATTGTCTTCATTACACTCAGACTGTGCTGATATCTTATTGGTGCTACTAGCAAACACATGAATCATTACTACAGAATTATAATTAAGAGTATTAATGAAATAATATGCAGGTTAAAACTTGACCCAAACCTGATTTTCCCTAAGGAAAACTAGATTAGCTATAATCTGAAGTTCTTGCTTGCCCCAGAGAAAACAGAACTGAATAGGAAAATAAAAGTGATATCTCATGAAAAAGGTAAAGAAGTTATGCTTTTCTCATAAACTCTGGTCTGATAACATCCTTGGGATTCTAAGAGAGTGGTGGAATTCAGATGCCAGAGTTAACAGTCAGTGAATCAATTTCCTAGTAAAAAGTAATGCAAACTTCTGAAAAATTAGCGATAAACAAATGTTTAACCTACAGTTCCTGAAATGCATCAAAATTCAAAAATTTAACCTTATCAATTATAATTCACCTTTCCTTGAAATCTCAGTATCAGTTCTGATTTTCATGTTCAAACTAAATAAGCTATCTGCCTTCAGGGAGTTGGCCACAGGACTTTTCTTAGTTGTTCAGCATGTCTGTACCACAATCTAGGTGTCCATTCCCCTACAGTGGGCCCAGAATTTGACTTCTTAGGCATTCCAAATAAATCCACTGCCCTGGCAACACTGGTCCATTCTCATCTCCTAATTATACTATGTTTTTCTAATTGATTACAGATTCTAAAAGCTAGACTATTTCTCTGATCTATGCCTATTTATATGCTATCCTAACAAAATCTATATGTTTCCATATAACATGAGCCTAAAGTCAAATTACTTTTCTTTAATCTCTGAATGTGACTTTATATTATGCTGGATCACATTATAATAGTTGGTGTAAACTCTCCTTTTTATATTATTATTATTATTAGGGGATTGAACTCGGGACCTTGCATTTGTGAAGCAAGTGGTAGAACCACTGAGCTAAATCCCTGGCCCTAAACTCTCCTTTTTAGTAGCTCATAATTTTTGCAGCTCAGGAGTTAATTTAGGTAAAATGTTATCCCACTTATATACAGCACAGTGTCTTCAGCACTAAAATTCCAAATGTTGTACTTCCTAAAAAAAAAAAAAAATCACCTACAGTGATTACTTATGTTTTATTTAGAGTTTTCTTCTACAGATTTTATGTTAGTTGGTCTCGAGATATGCAAGACCCAATGATAGCTTGTTACTGGTGACCCTTGCAGTAGGTTCCAGTACCCACCTGCCCAGTATATGGTGAAGGCCTTAGAAAAAAAAAGTATATTAAGAGACAGAACAAAGAGAGAGAAAGTGGGGGGCCAGGACGACCAATGCCGGTGCAAATGACAAAGGTGCTAGGTGATCCCAGGCACTGACTTTTATTGGCAATCATTTGGGGCAAAGGCAAGCTATGTGCAGTTTCTATAGAAGTTAATGTAAACAAGGCTCATAGGGGACAAGACAAAGCATTCTTGAATTAGGGACAGAATAGACAAAATATATGGTTGTAATTAGAACACTGTCCTAGTCAGAAGGCTTTAGTTGTGGGAATGGAATTGGGGTGCGAGTTACTTGACTTGGGCACGTAAACTTTGGCCAGACTCACTTCTCAAATAAAACAATTGTGGGGTTGACTCTTCACAGTCTGCTTTAGGGACAATCAATGAATGTTATAGTCCCCTACACACTTGTGATATTGCAGGAACAGTATTTATAAAAAATCAGTGATTCTCTTTTTTTCGAATATTCTTTTGTTTTGCTTTGTTTTTGTCTTTCTTGTTAATATTCTAATTACATGGTAGCAGAACCAAAAGGGTGGCAATGTGTGAAAAGGAACTTTCTGTAGAAAACTACAAAGAACTAAAACCAGTGCTAGGGCCAGGGATTTAGCTCAGTGGCATTGCGCCTGCCTCGAAAGCGCAAGGTCCTGAGTTTGATCCCTGATTTCCAGTACCAAAAACAAACAAACAATAACAAAATAAAACGAGTGTTTTCTTCAATTTTTTTCCCAAAGTAGTGAGCCCGAGACATTTATTTAATCTCATATTGACTATGACAAAGCCACCTTCCCACATGCTGTTTTTTCTTGATTAAACTGTTCTCATATAGTTACCAAATTATTACTCCATGATGTAAAGAAAAGGGTGAAATTTATCTGTGTGTGTGTACCCACACGTACATGTGCATGTAGTACTGGCAAATGAACCTAGGACTTTTGCACTTACCTACATTCCCAGCCCTTTTAAATTTTTAAGATAGGGTCTCACCAACTTGATGGCTGGGCTCAAACTTGCAATCCTTTTGTCTCAGTCTCCAGAGTGCAGGAATTACAGGTGTGTGTCACCACACCTGGCTGAGGCTGAACTTTTGTAATGCTCATTTTCAGTAAAAGGGATTTAAATAAAACCTTTAAGGACTATTACCAGAAAGGGAGGACACTCAGAGGCATGGGAAAAGGACAGAACTGGTGGCTTTTTTAAAAAGGATATAAAAAAAAGGACCCTGAATGATGGAAATAGAAACCTACATTGTGATTAGGTAAGGTATTTGGTCAGTGTAGATTCACAATGGCCAAATTTTCTGCTGGAACCGTTTTCTAAATTACTTTAATAATCAATGTTATTGACATATACAATTTATAAATATGCAGTATATTGGTAAATAGAATTACATAGTCAAAGAAACTTCAACAGAAAGCAAACCATAAACACAGCCAGTATAAGTCCTCAAAGCAAGCACACAGAGGTCTAAGGATTCTAAGAGCAACAGGAGACTAAGATGGGCAATCAGAACATGCTAAGTAAGGGGTGCCTCATATAGGTCATTCCAGGTCAGGCAAGGGGTCAGCAAAACATACAAGGCTAATAACACAAAAGAATTACTCTATCTGCAGAGCTTAGAGATGAGATTCAGAGATAGATTACTCAAAACACTACCTCACCTCTTGAGATAATTAATGTTCCTTGCTGGAATACAGTACGAAAGATAAATCAGAGGGCACTGGAGCAGGAGCTAGAGACTTAATATTACATTTATTTTCCAAGTGAGCTTGGATTAGATTTTACTCACTATGCTACAGTTTCCTTCTATAAACTGAAGTGTCTAGCCAAATGAGCTCTCAAGACCTCCCTAGATCTGACTATCTAAAACATTCAAATTCTTCATAGAAATTTGGGGAATTAAGAAATAAAAGAGCTGAGGGTGTATCTCAGTGGTACAGTGCCAGCGTGCTTGCCTAGCATTTGTAAGGCCCTGTGCTCCATGCCCAGCATGGAAGGAAGAGGAAAAGAAAGTTAACAAAACACAGAAATATAAACCATCACAGTGAATAAGCCTGAGCAATTTTTAAAAAAATTGACAGGAATCTGAGCCAAGAGGATTTTAAGTTCAAGCCCATCTTAGGCAATTTAGACCCTGTTTTTTTTTTTTTTTTTTTTTTAAAGGGAGAGAACACTGAAGGCAACATTACCCTTTAACACAAATATCTTCTAGCTCCCCACACTTGCCTAGATTGTGGATTGCATAAACAGTGGCATACTAAATTTTCCAATCAGGGAAAATAAACTGAATGGTTTTTCAAGAAAAAGTCTACAACATTCCATACCAAAGAGTAAACTTCTGTTTCATAGCTCTACCAAGCTTTTAGGAATATAATTCTAGCAGGCTTCAATAACCATATAAATTGTTACACACATTATAAATAACAAGGATACACTTTACCTCAAATCCATATAAAATAAGAAATCAACAGTTAATCATATCTTACCTACATGGAATTGTAAACTACTAAAACTATGCTCTTACAGGTTTCATAACACTAATGGGTTAAAGAATTTACATTTGAAAATTATCTACTGCCAGTTAGAAGGATATAAAAATTAGGACAGTATGTTTCCATGACTTATTTTCTGAACTGTTGGCATGTTATCTAACCTCTTTAATTCTCTAGTTTTTTTTTCCTCCGTTAACATGGGGAAAATAACATCTGCTTTGTGAGGTCTGAGGATTAAAGGAGATCATGCACAAAAGGAGAGGCGTTCCCAAGTCTCAGCCTGAAAAATGATGTATCACTTGAATGAAAAAGGTCCCAAAGCTGGTGAAACACTGAGAGTACACTTTTTTTACATTGAGGAAAGGATAAAGCTAATAAAGCTTACATTCCTAAAGCTGTGGTGAATAATGGGAATTATAAAAACTGTTAACATGCTTAGTTTATTATTCACCAATATTTGTTTGAACATGACTGAACTTGTTTTGTTTTCCATACAGTAATGTACAATATGCAGTCTTTTCAAGTCTGCCTCTTCGACTTTCTAATAAGTACTTTAAAGTTTCCTCCATATCTTTTCATGCATTGACAGCTCCTTTCTTTTTAGTACTAGAAAACAGTCCACAAACTTGGGTTGTTTGTTTTGTTTTGTGTAGTGCTGAGGATCCAACCCAGGGCCTCACACATGCTAGGTAAGTGCTCAACCACTAAGCCACACCCCAACACCATGAACTTGTTTTCAATAAAGGCAATAATAAAAACAATGGCAGCATAATGAGTACTCAGATTAACACATTTATCATATACTAAAAGATTTTAAAATAATAAAGCACTCACAGGGTAACATGGAAGTTTCAGTGTTATTCTATGTGAATTTCACAGTAATTTTGAATAGGTGATATTGGGTCGTTTTTGTTTTGTTTTGTTTGCAAGGTGAACCAAGGAGCACCACTGAGCTACAACCTCAACTTTTTTCAAATTTTGAGACAGGGTCTTGCTAAAGTATGTAGGCTAGCCTTGAGATTGCAACCTCCATGCCTCAGCCTCCTGAATAGCTGGGATTATGTGCATCACTACCCAACTCTATTTGGGGGGGGGCAAGGTC